GCACACGCACACGCACACGCATACGCACACGCACACGCACACGCACACGCACACGCACACGCACACGCACACGCACACGCACACGCACACGCACGCACACACGCACACACGCACACACTCACGCACACACGCACGCAGGCACGCACACGCACACACACGCACACACACACACACGCACACACATACACACATACACACATACACACATACACACATACACACATACACATACACATACACATACACATACACATACACACATACACACATAGACACATACACATACACACATACACATACACATACACACATACTCACATACACACATACACACATACGCACATACGCACATACACACATACACACATACACACATACACACATACACACATACACACATACACACATACACACATACACACAAACACACATACACACATACACACATACACACATACACACATACACACATACGCACATACACATACACACATACACATACACACATACACACATACACACATACACACATACACACATACACACATACACACATACACATACACGTACACATACACATACACGTACACATACACATACACATACACATACACACATACACATACGCATACACATACACGTACACGTACACGTACACGTACACGTAGACGTACATACACATACACATACACGTACACATACACATACACATACACATACACATACATATACACATACACGTACACATACACATACACATACACATACACATACACATACACATAAACATACACATACACATACACATACACATACACATACACATGCACATACACATACACACACACTTTTTTGCGTTTGCGGCTAGGCAGAGTGACTGCGCTGGCGGATAGGGCAAATGTAGGGCATACAATTGCAAATTGAGCCGCGATGCGCGTGAGGACGATGGGGAAGGCCCGGCGCGGGCGGGAGGGAGACGGAAGCCGGGCCCGCTCAGAGCGGGGTAAGACACACGCACACACAAACTTTTTTGGTCGGCGGGGCGAGAGCGAACCTCTTCCGTTAAAAGCTAGGCGGGCTACGCACAGCTCTAATTGGGGAGGCAAGGCACAGCACACACACGATCACACACACGCACAAAAACTACATGCTCTGAGCGTGCTTCGCTGCCCGCGGCCTCCTCTCCCCCCGTCCGCGCTCTTCCCGCTCCCGGCTGTGCCCAGTAAGAGGCCCCGCAGTGCCCTTCGGTTGCTCCCGACCGCGGCTTGGTGCCAAGCCGCTGCGACAAAACCCTGCCCCTGAGAGTGTTTTCGGCCCTCGGGGGGTGGGGGCGCCTCGACACGGTCGGTCGCGGTGCCAGAAGCGTGCCGGGTGATGGAGTATGTTCATGGCGGGTCTGGGGGGGCGATTTCGAGACGGTCTTGACCATGGGGAAATTGTTTTTTTGATGCGCGCGCACGGTCGGACAGAAGGATGGGGGCGGAGGAGGAAGGGCAGTAGGCGGAGTATTTGGAGGGCGAGGTGCGAAGGATGGCAGGGGGAGAGGGAGTGTAGGTGGGGCTGCAGGAGGAGGAGGAGGAGGATGAGGAGGAGGAGGAAAAGGAGGGGCTGCAGGATGATGATGATGATGATGATGATGATGATGATGATGATGATGATGATGATGATGATGATGATGATGATGAGGAGGAGGAGGAGGAGGAGGAGGAGCGCGTAGGAGGAGAAGGAGAAGAGCATGATGAGGAGCAGTGGTGGGATGACGATGATGATGGCTGTGGTAGTGGTGGTGCTTGTGGTGCTTGTGACGGTAATGGTGGTGAATCTTATCGAAGACGCCAACGGCGAGTCACCCCCTGCCTTTCGGAATCGCCAATGTGGCCGAGTGTTGAGGCAAGAGCTTTGCCAAGTTATCGGGCCATGTGTCCCCCCAGCCCTTGTAGAAACCCTTCAGAGAACACTTAAGGGAGGATGGCGGGCAAGATCAGGAGCAGGAGGCGGAGGAGGAGGAGGAGGAGGGGGCATTTTGGGAGCGTGCCGAAGGCACGTTGGAAGTGCAGTCGGGGCGCCGCAAGGGCCCGACAAAATTATCGCGTTTTGTGTGCCCAAGCGTTTTCATTTGTGGGGGCGCCCTGGCGCGAACGGCCGAACGACCCATGCAGCTGGACACTCTGGCAACACGGGTGGCGCCACAATAATCATCGGTTTAACGCTGACACCGCGCAAAGGTACTCCCGCAAGCGCGACGACGGCCGAGCAGGCCCCGCTGGGGCCCGACAAAATTATCCGTGTTTGCGCGCCGAAGCGTTTTCATTTGCGGAGCTGGGCTTCCTGGCGCGAGCGGCCGAACGACCCATGCAGCAGGACACTCTGGCAACACGGTTGGCGCCACAAAAATCATCGGTTTACCGCTGGCACCACGCAAAGGCGATGCCGAACATAATGTGCAGTGCACGGTCGCGCGCGCCGAAGGCACTTTGGACGTGCCTTCGGGGCGCCGCGAGGGCCCGACAAAGTGATCGGTTTTTGCGCGCCCAAGCGTTTTCATTTGCGGAGTTGGGCGCCCTGGCCTCTGGGGGCACTCTTGGGGCCTCCTTGGAGCTTCCTGGGGGCTTTCTGGATGTATCCAGGGGGCCTTTGGGGGCTTTGGGGGCTTTGGACGCTTCTCGGGTGATTTCTCGGCCGTCTTAGGGCATTCCTGACCCGTTTGATGTCGTGGGAAGCCGTGTTGGGGGCCTCTACGGGCCGACTTGGGGCCCTCTTGGGGTGCTCCAAGGTCATCTTGGAAACCATTTTGGGAGCCTTCGGAGCCTCTTGAGGCTGTCTTCGGGGCCTCTTGGGCCGATCTGGGGCCATCTTGCAAGGCCTCGCGGGCGATCTTGGGGCGATCTTTGGGGGCTCTCGGAAAGGCGCAAATACCCCAATCCTTACACCTGAGGCAAAACAGTGATTTTGGCCTGTTCGGGCCCTCCTGGAGGCCCTCTTGGGGGCCCCTGGGGCCGTCTTGGGGACCTCTTGGGGGCCTCTTGGGCTGTCTTGGGCCATCTTGGAGCCATCTTGGGCCGTCCTGGTGGCCTCCTGGCCCGTCTGACGCCCCCGGAAGCCGTCTTGAGGGCCTCTTTGGGCCGACTTGGGGCCCTTTTGGGGTGCTCCAGGGCCGTCTCGGAGGCCATCTTGGGCGTTTTGAAGGCCTCTTGGGCTGTCTTGGGGCCCTCTTGGGACCTCCTGGGCCAATCTGGGGCCGGGGCCGTCTTGGAACCCTCTTGGGCGATCTTGGGGCGACCTTTCGGGGCTTGTGGGCCGTCTCGGGCCGTCGGAAGGCGGAAGGAAAGCGCATGCCAAAATCCTTCGAACACCTAAGTCAAATCAGTGATTGTTGTCTCTTCGAGCCTTCCTGGAGGACCTCTTGGGGACCTCTGGGGCCGTGTTGGTGACCTCTTGGGGGCCTCTTGGGCTGTCTTGGGCCATCTTGGAGCCACCTTGGGCCGACTTGGTGGCCTCCTGGCCCTTTTGGCGCCCCTGGAAGCCGTCTTGAGGGCCTCTTTGGGCAGACTTGGGGCCCTCCTTGGGTGTTTCGGGGCAGTCTTGTCGGCCTTCTTGGGCGTTTTGGAAGGCTCGTGGGCCGTCTTGGGGCCCTCTTGGGGCAGTCTGGGGAACCTTTTGGACCGTTCTGGGGCCATCTTGCAAGGCCTCGTGGGCGATATTGGGGTGATTTTTGGGGGCTCTTCGGCCGTCTCGGGCCGTCGGAGGACCGAACAGAAGCAAATGAGGTCTCTTGGGCCGTCTTGGAGACCTCTTGGGGGCCTCTTGGGCCGTCTTGGGCCATCTTGAGGCCATCTTGGACCATTTTGGAGGCATCTTGGGCCGTCTTGGAGGCATATTTGGGCCGTTTTAGCCGTCTTGGAGGCCATCTTGGACATCTTGTAGGCCATCTTGGGCCGTCTTGGCGGTTTTGAAAGCCATCTCGAGCCGTCTTGGGATTTCTTCGTGAGATTTGCCGGCCTTTCGGGTGGTCTGCGGGACGGGCCGAAGCCCCAGGGAGAGTTCTTGTGAAAAAGAGCCAGGACCATCCCCTCTAGGGTCCAGCACGACGGGCACCCCTGTGGCAAGACCACAGGGGGCTGCGGATGACAGAAAGCGCGCGTAGCGTCGCGATCCGTTAGTCCGGAGAAATAACAACAGAATTCGGCAATTTTCGTTTCAATATGGCCCAAGTCGGTCCCAAGAACGCACAAGAGGCCCCCAAGCTGGCCCAAGACAGCCCCAGTGTGGCCTAACATGCAGCAAGGACGGCCTCAGGGAGGCCCAAGAGGACCCCAAGACGGCTCAAGAGCGGTCGAAGAGGGCCCAAGACGGCCTCAAGACGGCCAGGGAGGCCCTCAAGACGCTCCACGAGGGCCCCCAAAGGACCCCCAAATGATACAAATCCACCCGTACCCTCAGACAACGTGCACTTTCAGCATATGCACGTCTTTGGTCTGAACAGCGTCCAAGACGGCCCAAAAGGCCCCCAAGACCGCCCAAACACGGCCCAATAGGTTCCAAGAGTGCCCCAGGACGGCCCAAGTGTGCTCCAAGACGGCCCAAGAAAGTCCCAAGAAGTCCAAGAGAGGCCCCTGAGGGTTCCAGTAGGTTTCCAAGAGAGCCCCAAGAGGGCCACAGGAGGTCTCCAAGAGTGCCCCGACAGGGCCCCAAGACGGGCCAAGCCCCCCAAGACCGCCCACGAGGGCCCCAGGGCGGTCCAAGGGGGCTCCAAGACTGCCCAAAAGAGCTCTAAAGGGACTCCCATGAAAGCCCAGAAATCCAATATTGAATGATTTTCGCAAGGCTTGTTGCTAGATTATTTGTATGTCGCGCCAAAGCCTTGCAACCAGCAGGCTCCAGGACACTAAGCCAGCGACCTCGCGCCCTCACAGAATGCACGCGCTTTCCGTCCCCGTGCCAAGCAGGTGAAGGAAAGAGCGAGGTACGAGCGAAACAAGTTGAGTTCGGGCGAAGCGCTCTAAGGATGGTTCCAGGGGAGTGTCGAGGGCCAGGGAAATGTATGCTAATGGCCACCCAGCGGCCGCTTCCCTCGTGTTTTTTTCGAATGAAGCGGCTCCCAGGCGGCTCCCTCCCATGGCCTGTTTCCTAGTATTTTTTTTTCGAGTGAAGCGGCCAGAGGGCCCCAAGACGGCCCCAGAGGACCCCACAACGGCCCAAGGGGGCACTGACGTCGGGCCCCTGTCTGTGCTTCCGCGGAGGCTTGGTGGCGCGCGCAAAATTGGCTGGGGGAGGGGGACGGCTTCATAGAAGGAGGCCGCCGATTAGAAGGCGCCGGCCCCGCGTCTACAGACAAGGCCCGCGCCCTCTAACAAGCAGAGGTGCTCCTAAGAAGCCCCCCCCCCTCCCCCAATCCCTCTCTGGGGAGACCACTCCCCGGACCTCTCCCGGGTTGCTAGGACCTCGGGACGAGTCTGGTGGTGGCGACGCAGGCCACCCAGGCAGCCCGGAAGGGGGAAAACGAGGGAAGGGTAGCGACCTAGATATGCCCGACGTCATGATTTCTCACGACGTCAACCCAGCGAACGCAAGGGCCTGTGATGCTGGAGCCGCCCAGCGAATGCAGGGGCGCACCGGGGAAGATTCGTCGAATGCAAGGGCCTTGGATGCCCTTCTGGAGCTGCCCGGCGAGTGCGAGGGCGCGCACTGGGGAACGCAGCGAGCGCAGGGGTTTCGGCCACGGGAGCCGCCCAGCAGATGCAAGGGGCGCACCCGAAGAGCCCGGCGAACCGAGGATGGTGGCGGCGACGAGGGGCGCCGGCAGCACAGAGACTGGGGGGGGGGACCTTCTCGGGGGAGGAAGAGGAGGAGGAGGAGGAGGAGGACGAGGAGGAGGAGGAGGAGGAGGAGGACAAGGAGGAGGACGAGGAGGAGGAGGAGGTGGCGACAGCGCTCAGCGGCACCACTGGTCGGCCGTTCTCCCGACGCCGCGCGCCCGCGAGCGGCAAGCACTGCGCCTGCCCAGGCGCGCGAGAGAGAGCAGCCCTCTCGCGGGCGGGGAGAGCCAGCGGCCCGACGGCGCACCGTACGACGGACAGCGTCGCAATCCCCAGGGGGCACCTGGCGTGCAGGATCTACAGGAAGCCCCGTGCCACGCGAAGCGCGAGCCTGCCTCCTCTCTCGGAGCACATCGGCGAATGCGATAAGCGAGCGCCTGCCATCCAAGGTGATGTGTTGTGCGCAAGCCAGGGAAGCCCCCAGAGGCCAAAAGGGGAGGAAAGGAACACATAACGTACTTCTGTCACACATATTTCTGCTCGCCGTACCGCTACGCGATTCAGGAACGCGGCATTGTCCCTGCGGAAGCAGCTGAGAAGATAAGATGTTCGTAGGGAGGCTGCTTTTTAGAGGGCGCCGGCCTGGCATCTGCAGAGAAGACCCGCGCCTTCCATAAGAAGCAGGGGTGCTTCTAAGAGGCCCCGCTCTCCTGCCCCCCTGTGCTCGTGGCTGACGGCGGTTCCCGCGTGCCCGATGCCCGCGCGTACAATCTATACCCGAGTAGATGCTGATAGACATCGACACAGGCGCCCCGGAGTCTTTCTGTTCCGTTTTGCTCTGCTGCTCCTCCTCCTCCTCCTCCTCCTCCTCCTCCTCCTCCTCCTCCTCCTCCTCCTCCCTCCTCCTCCTCCTCCTCCTCCTCCTCCTCCTCCTCCTCCTCCTCCTCCTCCTCCTCCTCCTCTCTGTTCGGTTCTGCTCCTGCCACGCCTGCTGCTGGTGCTGCTGCTGCCGCTGCTGCCTCCGGTCCTCCCTCCTCCCGTGGCGCCCGCTCCGCCTCGCAGAGGGTGGCAGGCCGCGGGGCGCGCCTGGCAGGGGGGGGGGCCAGGCCGAGCCCTCTGGTCCCGCACCGCGCTGTCGCCCCTCCCCGCGAGGGTGGCTGCATTTTTGCCCTGGGTCCGACCCAGACCTCCTCGCGCTGCGCAAACTCACGACGGGAGGCGTTTCGCTACCTCCGGCCTCCAGGGGCCCTTCCCGGGTCTCGGGACTGTCAGAAAACGACTCAGGATGAACACCGGTCCCTGGAAAAGGGTCCTCACCTCTGGGGGTCGACGCTGTGAGCAAATCACGACGTCGGGGGTCCGGGGGACAGGGCCCCTGGTGTTCACATGACGTGCGGGGCTCTTCTGCCGCTGTGGCTGCGCGCCTATTGCGGGGCTGACTTCGCCGCCGTCCCTGTCTCGTCCCTTCGTTGTTGTCGCGTGCGCGATGGTAGCCGTTGGGGGGCAGCTTGATGCTGTGGTCCGTGGGCCTTTCCCGCCTCCCTCTTTCCCTTTGCCTTCCTTTTGTCCTTGCTTGGGGGCGTGAAGGTAACGACTTTGCCTCGCGACCCTCCCGAGGCCTGGGTCATGGGCAGTTCGCCCGCAGGCCCGTGGACGCTTCAAAAAGACTCAGACCTCGCAGGCAGTGTCAGTCTTCTCTTCCTTCGTGTGCCCCTGCCCCCCCTCTCCTCCCTCTCCGCGCCGTCTCCTCCGCTCCCGCGTCCCCTCTCTTAAAAGAGGGCAGGGCAGGGCGTGGGGCTGGGCCCCTCGCTGCAGCCCGACGGGACGCCGAACCTGGACGAGGGAGTCAGTCGCACGGCCGACGAGCGCCGCATCATCTGGACGGCGGTGCACGAGGACGGGGGAGGATCCGTCGCTCCAAGCGTCCTGTGTGTCGAGAGAAATCGTGGGAGGCGAACTCCTCGAGTTTGGGCCACTGGGTGCATCCGGGGGTCCGCAAAGAGTGGTCCACGACGCCCGCGCGAAAGGCGGGGTCGACCGGACGGGGCCAAAACGATGATAACACATCCGTTCCAGCGCGTTCTGGAGCGCTCTCAGAGCGTTCTGGGGCGCTCTGAGAAGGCCGCGTCGCCCGAGACATCCTCCAGAACGGCCGGCCATCCGGGACTGTCGATGCATATTTTCGCCCGACTTGGTATTCGTCCTGGCCTCGTCTTGCGCGAAGGCTTCCGAGCCCCCCGCGCGCACCAGAAGGCCAGAACGTCGGGCGTCTGGGCCGACCGCGGGGAGACTGGCGGGGAGGGCGCGGGCCGTCGGGGTGAGCTCGGTCGCGAATCGTGGCGGCCTGGCGCGCCCCCGCGTCGTGCCCCGCTCCGCCTCCCGCCTCCCGCGGCCGCCCCCCGCCTCCCGCGCCCCTCTCCTCGCAGCCGGGCGGGGAGTTCGCCCGCGCCTGGCCAACGAGGGCGCGCGTGCGGATCGCCGCCGCCGCGCTGCGACACGAGAGGTGTGCCCTCGCGTTTCCGTCCGTAGAGGAGTGCGCTGGCGTCGGTCCGCGTTTGGTAATCGGGGAGACAGGGCCGGTGTGGCGTCGACTGGCGTTTGGCAGCGTCGACTCGCAAGAGGTGTAGCGTCGAGTCGACTGGCGTCTGGCGGCGTCGACTCGCAAAAGCCGACAGGATTCCAGGATGGTATGGGAGGCTCCCGTGAGTTGCCGCGGAATGGAGGTAGCGGGCCCCAAGGCAATGGGGGGGGTCGTCAGTTCATCTTCCCGCGCCTCTCGATATCTCACGCTCGATCCTCGATCCTCGATCCTCGATCCTCGAAACCTCGAGCTTGGATCCTCGAAACCTCGACCCTGGGTCCTGAAAGCTCAAAGCCTCGGACCTTGATCCTCGATCCTCGATCCTGGAACCTCGAACCTCGCTCCTCCCGCTCCACCCGCTTCTGCTTGTGCTCTCGGCGCCTCCCCGTCCCCGAAGCATTTGCTGCTCTGCTCTTATGCTGGGGCAGCAGCGGCTCCACGAGATGGGGCACCTCGTGGTCGAAACAAAAGGCCGCAGTGCGCTGGGTCGAGTAATCCATCGGTCGTTGAACGGGGGTATCTATTTGTGGACCGCCGGGTACCAACCTACCTTACGCGCCTTCCTACTCCCATCGTCGAGCGACTCTCTCTTCCTTCCTCTTTCGAGTGCGGGCGGGATCCCCATCTGTTTCCAACGCCTTCCTGCTCCATGTTTCTGCCCACTTTTTCCGACCGATTTGGTGCCGGAGGATCAGAGGGCGATCGCCGTGGCGTGAGGGGGCGCATTCCGTCTGGCAGCCGTGGTCTGACCACCCTTCCCATCGGTGCTTTTCTCATGCTCGTTGGGCGACGAGGATGTGGCACCGATGTCGGAGGGTCGCGTGTTTTCCTTCACCGGATGCCGGAATCTGTAAAACTTTCCAGCTCGAGGCTACTAGGGTTCCTGGTGGAGGAGTGTGATGTTCCAGGTATACATGTATCAATGCTGTTATTGTCAGCAGATGCGCCCAGATGCTTGTCTGGTGTCATGTCCTCCCTGTCTCTCTCTTCTCCCCCCCTGGCTATCTCCCCGATCCTATCTTGTCCCTGGCATCACCCTCTCTTTGTCTCTCTTTCTTCTGGCTCTGTGTTTCTGTCTGTCTGCCTGTCTGCAGCTGTGCCCATGCACGCGTGTGCATCTCAATCGATCTTCAGTAGTGCCGCCGCACACGGAGCCGCCACCATTTTTTTGTTTGTTTTTTTCCCAACCCTCCTGCGTTGGGTACTCGTTTTGAATAGAGCACTGCGGTCTCCACTCCTTCCTCCCGCCTCCCTCCACCTCTCTTCTCTCCTCCTCTCCCCTCTCTTGCTTCCCTTCTCCTATCTTCCCTCCTCCTCTCCTCCCTTGCTCCTCTCTTCCCTCCACCTCGCCATCCCTGGGTGGCTGCGATCTGTGAAACTGTCGCCACTTTCGAGGGCTGCTGTGGGGCGAGCAGAGTGACGTCTTACGGGGCTTCAGATTAGACCTCGCCATCGCTGGGGGGCTGCGATCCGTGAAACTGTCGCCACTTTCGAGGGCTGGTGAGGGGTCCAGCACAGTGGGTACTCACCGCAGACTCAGATTAGACCTCGCCATCCCTGGGGGGTTGCGATCTGTGAAACTGTCGCCACTTTCGAGGGCTGCTGAGGGGCACAGCACAGTGGGTACTCACCGCAGACTCAAATTAGACCTCGCCATCCCTGTGGGGCTGCGATCTGTGAAGCTGTCGCCACTTTCGAGGGCTGCTGAGGGGCCCAGCACAGTGGGTACTCACCGCAGACTCAGATTAGACCTCGCCATCCTTGGGGGGCTGCGATCTGTGGAACTGTCGCCACTTTCGAGGGCTGCTGAGGAGCCCAGCAGCAGTGGGTACTCACCGCAGACTCAGATTAGACCTCGCAATCCTTGGGGGGCTGCGATTTGTGGAACTGTCGCCACTTTCGAGGGCTGCTGAGGGGCCCAGCACAGTGGGTACTCACCGCAGATTCAGATTAGACCTCGCCATCCCTGGGGGGCTGCGATTTGTGGAATTGTCGCCAATTTCGAGGGCTGCTGAGGGGCCCAGCACAGTGGGTACTCACCGCAGATTCAGATTAGACCTCGCCATCCCTGGGGGGCTGTTGGGTTATCGTTTTGAATAGAGCAGTGCGGTCGCGTCTCCTCCTCCTCCTCCTTCTCCCGCCCCCTCTCCGCTCTCCTCCCTTCTCCCCTCCTCCTCTACTCTCCCCTCCTGCATCGTACCTCGCTCGTCGCTGCGTGCCAGCTTGCCTCCTACCTGGTCATCCCTGTGTGGGGCTGCGATCTGCGAAACTGTCGCCACTTTCGAGGGCTGCTGAGGGGCCTAGCACAGTGGGTACTCACCGCAGACTCAGATTTGACCTCGACATGGAGGGCGCTGCGGCTTGCGCCGTCGCTACCGTCCTTCGAGGTTGCCCGTCGGGCCCTCTTAACAATGATCATCGTGCATATTGTCGGCCTGCAGCTCCCTACCGGTGCAAGAAAAAGCTCGCCCGCCCGGCTGTCTTTGAATTGCGCGAGTCTGGCGTATCATTACCGAGACGTGCGTGCCCTGAAGTGAGGTTGCCCGTCGGGCCCTCTACTCACTCCCGAGTCGTGACCACGAGCAATGCTCGCGTGCCCGTGTTCTGCGGCTTGCGCCATCGCTACCGTCCTTCGAGGTTGCCCGTCGGGCCCTCTTAACAATTATCTTCGCGCATATTGTCGGCCAGCAGCTCCCTACCGGCGGCAGAAGAAGCCCGCCTGCCACGCTCTCTTTGCTTTGCTCGAGTCTGACGCAGCATTGCCGAGGCTTGCCGGCCCTGAGGTGAGATTGTCCGTCCGGCTCTCTAATCACTCCCGATTCGTGACCACGAGCAATGCCGCGTGCCTTCGCTCTCTGCGGCTTGTGCCATCGCTACCGTCCTTCGAGGTTGCCCGTCGGGCCCTCTTAACAATTATCATCGCGCATATTGTCGGCGGTAGCTCCCTACCAGTGGTAGAAGAAGCACGCTGCGATTTGTGGAACTGTCGCCACTTTCGAGGGCTGCTGGTGGGTCCAGCGGAGTGAGGCACCACGGGGACTCAGATTAGATTCGCCATCTCTGGGGGGCTGCGATCTGTGAAAGTGTCGCCACTTTCGAGGCCTGCGGGGGGGGCCCAGCACAGAGGGTACCCACCGCAGATTCAAACTAGACCTCGCCATCCCTGGGGGGCTGCGATCTGTGAAACTGTCGCCACTTTCGAGGCCTGCTTGGGGGCCCAGCACAGTGGGTACCCACCGCAGACTCAAATTAGACGCCGCTTTCGTCCTTGTTCTCCTCCTGCAGTCACCTTCCCTCTGCTGCTTCTGTGCTGATGGTTCGGCTTCCCGCGCGTTATTCTCCTGCTCTGCGTTCCCGACTCCCCATGTCCTCTTCGAGCCTGTAGCTGTCGCCCCTCGTCCTTGTATGGTTTTCCTGCACATCATGCCATAGGCGCGTGTCCCAAGTAGCTTACACATCAAGTTGATTGTCCATGCACGTTTCGGCCAACTCCTCGTTTCCATTGATACAAATGGGTTGGGTACGTCACAGGGTAATTTTTTTGGGGGGGGGAGGGGGCAGGGGGGCGGGGGGGGTTGCTGGGGGGGGCGAGGGGTGGGGTGGGGGCGACCGCCCGTGTCTGGACATGAGCTTGGTACACGATGTTTGTTCGGAAGGCCAAGGCCCAAGATCGACGCACGGTGGCCACAGTCATCGAGCTTTGCCAGTCACGGTGTTCCACAACAGGGCTTGCCAGGGTGAGGGCGGTGCAGTGGGACGCACATGGCTACGTTTCCCAGCCGGGGCCGTCTCCGGGTTCGTGCGTTTTTACTGCCCAGAGGCCTCTGATCGATTGATTTTGAATGTTTTCATGGGCTCGAGTGCGCTTGTCTTCCACGAGGTCTTTTCTTCGCTGCGTCTTCTCCTCCTCTCCCTCCTCGTCCTCGTCCTCCTGTCCCTCGTCCTCCTTCGCCGCTTTCCCCCCTTCCCGTCCTCCTGCCCACGCTCTGCCCCTCCCCCTCCCGCTCTCCCTCCCCCCGGCTGCTCCTCTGCTCTTCCTGCTCGTGCTCCTCTTCCCCCGGCGTTCATGGGAGGCCCTCGGCATCGCCCCAGAGGGAGAGCGGCTTCACGCGCAAGATGCTCAAGAGGAGCCGCCTGAGTTCGTGGTGCCCTTCCCATTCTTCCGAGGATCAGCAGGACGAGCTGCATGAAGAGGAGCGGGGAAGCGTAATGATGGAAAGAGGAGGATGAGGTGGGGGAGACGGGGGGATGAAGGAGGAGAGGAGAGGAACAGTGAAGAGGAGAGGAGGGATGAAAGGATGGATGAGTCCTCTATCCCTGTTCCCTCTAAGTCCCCCTCCTCGTTGGACCATCAGACGTGTTGGTAGGGCAGGCCAGGCGTTTCTCCTGAGATTTCCTAGCTACGTATGGTCCTGAAGGTTGAGCTTCTCAGAATGGACACGTGTGGTCAAGGGCGAGCTGTTCCAAAAGGTTGCGTTCGCTCTAGCGTCGCACACAGTCGCATTGGCAGTTGCCAGCAGGTCCAAGGATGGATGGCGCCCCACCTTCTTCCCCCCCTCTCTGCCTCTCTCTGTGCGTGTTGTGTGTGTGTGTGTGTGTGTGTGTGTGTGTGTGTGTGTGTGTGTGCGCGCGCGCGCGCGCGCGCGTGTGTGTGTGTGTGTGCCGCCTCGGCGCTGGCAGCCCCGCCACCCTGGCTTCCCCCCCTCCCAGTGCGTCCGTTCCCCTTGCCTCGTGCTCCTTCGCCTGGAGCCCGGATCCCGAAGTCGACGGCACCCAAGCCATCGAGGGGCACGACGCCAGCAGCTCCACAGCTCGCGATGCCACGCGCAGCACGCCTCCATTCGCGCTCTGCTGGCTCGGGGGGCTCCCCCCCCGTGACGCGCCGCGCTGACCGCGTCCGGTTCGTCGGGCGCGCCCCTGGCTCTATACAGTCTCCCATGTGCATCTGGCGCGACGCCCACGGCGAGCATTATCTCCACGTGTGCCGCCTCGACCACTCGGGCTCCGACGGGCCTGCTGCCGACACTCCCAGCCGCCAGCCTGCCCCCCGCAGCCGCAGCAACGTCGCCCTTGGGGTCAAGTTCGTACCGCGCACAGCCGCTAATCCTGGGTGGCTCCCCAGGTTTCCCAGCGCCAACTACCTCCTCAAGAATGCCGACGAACGGTGGCAGCTGTGGGAGCTCATCAACCTCGGGGAGGAAGACTGGGCAAGGCGGGGGCATCGGCATCTATTTCTCTCACGCTTTCCTCCGCCGACGCGGTCCACCCATGCCTCGGGACGGAGTGGCCTTTTCCAGACTCCGGCGACCCACCCGACGCCCCCAGGCACTGCTGCTTAGTCTGGCGGGACACTACGTGGAACCCCTTTTGGGACGCTGAGGTGGGCCAGCCACCATCCGACGCAAGCCCCCGCCTCGACCTACATTGCGTCTTCTTGCGCTGGCACCGCATTCGCCACGTTGTGCGGGGTGTCTTCGGCTTGCGGCACAGCCCCGACTCCCGCCATGGCTCCCTGCTCGCGCTTGAGGTCCTCGCCATCGCTGGGGACGTTCCCATCGCGGACCGCCGCTGGGCTCTGCGCCGAGGCCATAACTCCCAGGGCTGCGCCCGCTTCAGCAGTGCGCACAGGCTGTGCTCTGGTCAGCTGCGGCACCCATGGATCTCTCCGGCGCCCCTCCTTCGTGTTTACCAGGGGCGCCAGACGGCTTGGACCACGGCGCTCCTTCCCCCGTGCAGCTTGCCCTGCTTCTTTGACACGGTGGCGCCTGTCGGGAGCGACTTCGCTGGGGGTCCCTACGAGGAATGCTCTGACGGCGTGTGGTCTCCTAGTCGTTTTCTTCCGCCCTCCGCCCCTGTCGTTGCCCTGCCGTTCCTGCCGCCTTGCCCTACCACGGCCGAGCAAGTTTGCTCCAGGTAAAAACTCAACGAGAACCAGGCACGTGCCATCCACGCCTGCTGTGAGTGCCGATTCATCTGCGTGCAAGGCCCTCCAGGGACGGGCAAGTTGCAGACTGCTCGCGCCTCGGTCGCCGTTCGCGCCAACGCCTGCCCTGGTGGCGCGGCAGTCATCCTCGCCACCAAAACCGGATTTGCTGCAGCCTCCTGTCCAGGATTGGCAAGGTTTGTCACGTGTGCGGAGCTACACTGTCAATGCCGCGCTTTCCTATGACTCAGCTGTGTTCCTGCTCGCAGCGCGCGCCGCCAGAGGCGGCGGAGAGCTTGAGGGGCCCGCCCGCCAAAAGTGCGCCCCCTCAGCGACGGGTCTGTTCTCCGGGGGTCTACCATTTGTCGTTTCTTTCGCGAGGGCGTCGCGCAGCCGGGCGCGTGGAGCGCGGCGGGCCTTCGCGGGGCACCCCGGGCCTCGCCGCGAAAAGGCGCGCGCCGCTTTCAACGGGTGGCGCCGTCACCTCGGCGGGTATTGGCTGGTCGGGGTCGCTCCTGGGGTCGGCCGCTTGTGCGCGGGCAGGCTCCGTTCAGATTGCTGGCGTAGGGCCCCGCGCCTTCGTCCTTGAGGGTATTGGGCAGGCGCGGGGGGCGCTCTCCATGGTTCCCATCGCCGTGGCCATCTCCGACGGCGGTCCAATTGCCCTCGCCGGGGGCCGCGCTCAGCCACTTGCCGCCGTCGCCCCGCTCAGAAGCTGCCGTCGCCCATCGGTGTCGAGGTTTCTCTCGTGGGGAAGTTTGCGCGGGCGGTGCAGTGGGCGACGGCGTGGTCATCGTGCTGCGCGCGTGCTGCGGGATGCATCCCTGCCGCCTGCGTTTCCCTTTCTTGGCCTACTACCGCGACAGTGTCATCTGTGTCGAAGAGGGGGGGCAGTATAGGCACAAACTTCTGGCGCTTCGCGCGAGCTTCTCGGGTCCGTCAGGAGGCGCTGCGCGCCTCCCGGAAGCCCGCTCCCGGCTTGCAGCGGCCCGAGCGCTCTCATGTATGCGCGGTGGTTCGACGGGGCGTCGCCCCCCACCGCCGGCCCCCTCTTCTCGGCGGCGCGCGAGGGGGGGGGGGTGGGAATGAGAAGGTTCGCCGCGCGGTCCGTCGCCGCGCGGTCCGTCGCCGCGCGGTTTCGGCGCCCCCAGGCCCGCCCCCCGTGGCCGCGGGGATCGCCGCCTGACCGACAAGAGCTGCGTGATCTGGGACGTGGGATTCGACTCTCCCAGACGTGGCCCAAGAGGACTGCGTGTTTTTGGAAGTCGATCTTGGGGGCGTTGGATTCGATGCCCGAAACCATTTCGGCGGGGAAAGAGCCGGGGGAATGAGGAGGGCGCGGCCGTCTCAGAGGGCGGCGGGACTTCTCGGGGGCCCTCGCGCCTCCGGAGTTTTTCTATGTCTTTGGTGAATGCGTGGGGAACTTGTCAGAAGGCCCGGTGACTTCCGAGCCTGCTGAGAAGGCCCGCCCCCTCTCGCCCCCCCCCCCCCCCCCCGCGCTCGCCGAAGTCCCTCGGTCGCGTGGGCAGGGCCCCCGTCCGGGGAGGGCTGCGGCGCGCCCGCTGCTCCTCCCTGCGCCCCCGTCGGGCGGGGCGCCTCCGTTGGTCCGGCGCCTCTTCGACGGCGCTGGGGCCTTCCCAGTTGGCGACGTCGATCGCCTCCTCGTCCTCCATCTGCTCTCCGGCGAGTTCATCGCCAACTCCAGTTGCTGCAATCCCGGCGCGGCCGCGGAGGTGACCCTCGTCCTCGACGGCGATGGCGTTCGTCGGCAACGACCTCGCCGTCGCGGTCACCACTCCTTAATGCGCCGAAGCCACTGTCCTCGCCGCCGCATGGCCCATTGGCGGCGCGACCGCAGCCCCTTGCGGAAAGGGCAATTCCTCAGGCCAGCTAGCACCTCCGCGACGCCCCAGAGAATCTGCCGCCTTCCGTGGTCTCCTCGACGGGTGGCCCAGCCTCAAGGCCCACTCCGTCGATGAGATGCAGGGTGACGAAGCCGACCTCGTCATCGTCTTATGCGCGCGCTCCAACGGCGACTACGTCTTCGGGCGCGCTGATGGCGTCCGCCACATCAGCGTCGCCCTCGCGCGTGGCAAGAGCGTTCTTTTGTGGTCTGGTCACGAGTGCGGGCGTGGCGCGGGCCAGTCAGGACGCCGTGCCCACGGGCTTCCTCGGCGCGTGCCGACCCTGTCCCCCGAGTGGCATTCCAGCCTGTCCGCCTCGACGAAGCGCCCGCCGCCGCCCCCGGAGCTCCTGGGGGGGGCGCCGCGCGTGGGCGCCCGCGACGAGGCTGGGGCGTCGCAGCAGGGGATTTTTTTCCCTACCTAGGCTCTGCCTAGAAGGGTTCTTACTGTATAAGCTTAAAGAGCTGGGCAGTGCTCCTCGCCCCGGGCGGTTCCCCCGGCATCCGCCCCGCGGTTCCCCCAGTGGCGTTCCCTTAGCTTAGCGTTGCTTTTTTCTCATCATAGCTTAGTTTATTTCATCTTAGCCTAGCTTAGCTTCATCTTAGCTCAGGTTTATTCCCTACCTAGGCTCTGCCTAGAGGGTTCTTACCGTGTGGGCTTAAGGGGCCGGGCAGTGCAACGCGCCCTGGGCGGTCCCCCCAGGGTGCGCCCCGCGGTCCCCCCAGTTGCGTCCCCTGTGTTCACCCAGCTTAGCTGAGCTAAGCTAAGCTAAGCTTAGCTTAGCTTAGCTTATCTCTTCCTAGCTTAGCTTAGCTTAGCTTTGCCTAGCCTAGCTTAGCTTAGATTGGCTTAGCTTAGCTTAGCTTCCTTAGCTTATCTCATCTTAGCTTTAGCTTAGCTTAGCTTGGCTTGGCTTAGCTTAGCTTAGTTTATCTTGGCCGAGCTTTGCTTAGTTTCGTGCAGCTTAGCTAGCATAGCTTAACTTCCCTTAGCTTAGCGCAGCGCAGCATAGCGCAGCGCAGCATTCGCACAGCATCGCATCGCATATCATAGCATAGCCACACATAGCATATCATATCAAATCATAGCTCATCACATCATATCAGATCATAGCATATCATATCATAACATAACATATCATGCCCTAGCACAACATATAATCTCATATCATAACATAGCATATCATATCCAACCACATCGTAACATATCATATCATAGCGCAGCATATCATAGTATATCATCGCATATCATAGCGCGGTATAGCATAACATATCGCATCATAGCGCATCATATCATATCA